TAAAGTCGTATATGATATCGAGGAAGAAATAATTAGATATAATTTTTTTTTTTAATGGCGGAAATTACAATTTGTACATACGACAATATAATGCGAGGACTTATAACCTATGATAATAAGTCATAATAATATAAATATATAATATACCATGTGAACGGATATTCTTTTTTCGTAGCCTTCCTAGAGGTCGTCAACGAATCGGCTAAATATTAAATTCACCAATGATTAATATATTCAATATTCACTAATGATTATAATATAAACAATTATATATTTTCGCCAACTATGTCTCTCGTTTAAAGATATGTATTTATAGATACTTATTTAAATATCGGAAAACTTCTGAATGTCGACGATGATTACCTTGCAAACGCAATATAGTAATTACTAATTGGTAATTATATACACATTATCTGAATTAATTATGCAATAAAAGTACGTTAAATATAGGTACTCACAAATAATAAATTATGAGGTCGTTATAATAGTATATAAGAAAAACAGTGTTTACATTAATTTAATTTAAGACTATCGTTGTGAAACAATATATAAACATCAAATTTAGTTGTACATCCGACTATATAGTCAGACCCTCAAGGATATTTTATGCATACGATGGTGACCAAATGGTTATTACAATAGGTACATAATAATATAATATACCTAATGTCATCAGTGCTTGAATTGGACAAATAAAAAAAGGGAGAAATCTTAAAAACAAATTAGCATTCCTCGAAATTATTGAGCTCAACTCCAACAATTAATCTCGAATAAATACCTATACATGTATGTTAGTATTAGTATAACAATTACTAATTAAAAAAAAGACTAAAACAAATAATGTATAACAAGAGTAATGCATTCAAATTAAAAATAGTTTAAATTTATTAAATAATTGTAATATATATTTTTTTTAATATAACAGTTCATTTAAATTTTATAGCTGTTGTGTGCAGTAATATAATGATAGTAATATATTGAATATAATAATTCATCAAATTAAATTTGAATGTCTTATTCGAGACAATTTTCAAAATTAAAATACTCTTTAGAAACGTTCGAGTAATTCTTTTACTAATTATTGACATTAATTGCTGACTCGTATATTGCAATTTACTAGTATATTGTCACTGCTTCCGTAGTCAATCATATCTTGTCATGAGACATGCCAATTAAAATGATCGACAAAAAACGGTCCAAAAAATCATTAGTTAAAATAAACCTGCAATAATTTATGTCACTAAATGACGTCTATATTTTTGAAACGAGAATATGGACTGAGGTCAAAACATCAAATCAGCTACTCCAACGCAAACAATCTAAAAAAATGGGAAAAAATGCTAAGAATAATAATGCCTCCCAGTTCAACGTTACCCTAAAAACCCTTATGTCGAGCTATCTTGATTATTCGGAAAATAACACTGAAGCTATCATAAAACTCATACTTATTACAAATATATCGAAATAAAAATAACCTCCTGTTCTTTTTATCAATTCAAAAATTTAAAACCATACCAGTTTTTGCAAAAACATTCAAAATAAATAGGGCCTTAACCCGAATCTTCATGAAAAAGTATTTCGAACGTTGTAAAATGTCCTCTGCCGTCATACAATTTATATAATACTACAGAGGAGGAAAATGTTGATTTCGATAACATATATAGTACCTGTCACCTGGTACCTATATACTAACTTAAAGAGAAAAATCTATTACAGCAATGTCACCTGCAGACATTTGCATCCTTTACTGACGTCGATCGATTTCATAGAAGAGTGTAACTAGGCCAAAAAGATTTTCGACCAGAAATAATATTACAAACGTCGCGTGTTACATAACCAAACAGACATCTCACAGACTAGTTTATGTCGCGACCTTGGGCCATAAATCATAATTAAAGAACAGTGACGATTAAATTCTCTATACGCTATGCAAAGAGAGTTGAGCCTCCAAAATAGATATCCACCCCGGACTCCCCCCCCCCCTACAACCGATGTATGATCTATTTGGATTATTACGGACCTACAAGATCCTATACTGTAAATAACATGTTAGCAAGGCACGCAGCAGTGATCTTCATGGTTCAGACTTTCTTGTCCAAAAAATATATTTTCCTTATGCATAGTCTGATTTTTGAAATTTTGATGTGTACTTAGAGCCGACGTTTTCGACTACTTTCGTTTTACTTTCATATTCAATAGATACCTAATCACGCACGGCGTTTCGCGAGACACATTAAATAGCCGTGAATTAATACAATCTTAAACTCCGTTAAATAAAATAAAATAATAAATAAAACAAATTTTTGCTCAGTTATTAAGGGCTGTTTTGACCTGCAAATATAAAATATAGGTCTAAAACAATTATTATACAAAATCATAATAACTATTTTATTTTCTGTAACCAACAGCAGCCTATATACAAACAAAAACAAATTAATTTTTTATGAATACCAGCGAATCCCTGTGTATGCACCTGTTCGAAATATGAATTAAAAAAATGTCCTTACCTTAGTGCATCTTTACAAGGTGGTACGAAAGTACCATGAACATGCTTAATCTCTTACTATCGTGGTTTTGGCTGCACGTCGATAAATCAGTCAGGATATTTTTTATTTATACTGAGGATTTGAGGAGTGTTTTATTATGGCTATACCTACATTATATAGCTATAGTACTTCTGATGATTTTTGTTAAACATTTTATAGGCATAGGTACCTGCTACTTATATCTTAATCGAATTTTAAAAGAGTAATTATCGTTAATAATGGTTTAAAATAAAATATAATACATGTACAGTAGATTTTTACCCAATTGAAATCCCCTTGAAATAATCACTTTTACAATGAAACTCAATACCTCGAATTTTTTCTGTTTGCCTCGAGTTTCGACTCACCGAGAGTTATTTTACTGTAATATTAATCGTGTAAATCTTGTGTTTATTACTTAGCCAACATTTAGAAATTATATGTTAGCATAATAAAATCATTGACATTATTAAATATTTACTAACATTTTAAAATCATGAGATTATAGACTTCATATTTTTCGAAAATTGTAATTGTGGTCGGTTATTAACCTTAGAAGTTAGAAATCAAAGTTTAATATACTTTGGTATAGTTTCCCATTATCCCCACAGGACACTTATATTAATATTGACATAAAAATATCTAAGTGTCTATTATTTGTAAATAATTGAGCACTTTTAACACAATTAAGCGCACACTTCAAAATTCCAAAACTTTGAATTAGAATAGGAATGCATTTTAAAGGTAAAAAGAGGGTGAGCATGCTTGGTGAGAATCACTCTGTATATTAACAAATATGGCATCATACTTGCTAAAAGTTATTTAAAAAATAAACCGAGTGAATAAGAGAAATAATTTTATGACTTCTAAACCAGTAGGTGATGAAAGTTATATAAACTGAATATATTGACTTTATTATGCTATTTATTTACTATTTCTACGACCGTAAAAATTATTTAATGTTGCCGGTATACTCGAATTATTTCTACCATAGAGAAGGCTTTAAAACAATCGCTGGGCCTTGATGATAAACATATTATAACTAGGTACAATATACATGTTATTATAAAGTTATAACTTGTAAGTAGAGATAGCATGTTGATGACCTAAAAAAATACCAAAAATTGTTGAAACATTTATCAAAATTAATAAAAATGTATTTAATATTTAAAAAAAAATTACAGTAAAATTAACTTAATGTAAATATAATATTCGAAAAGCATATGTGTTTAAAAGTATGAACATTGAACTTATACTTGCAAGCGATAAATCTAACCGCGACAATAAAAACTTCAATAACAATAATATTATTATTTTTGAAAATGTAAATATTTTTTTTTTCAAATCTAAAATTTAAGAAAAATTACTTATGATATGAAAAATGTCATTAAAAACGTCTATATTATAATGTCTTATATGGAATTGACTGGCTAATAGGTAGAATCAAAACGACCTGCACCAACATGACTATTACATTGAGCGGAACTCGCACCGACTACATTATTAACAATGTGTGTCCATCTGCACTTATTATTTGCAAACAGTAAAAAGAAGCCAAAAACGGGATGGTGACTTAGACGGTGGCAGGAAGAGAAGAAGAAAAATATGAAGAATCAATCTATACATATAATATGTGAGTTACTTGATATTTTCATATTTTTTAGTCAGTTATCATTTCTCTTGATGTCATCGGTGAATTTTGATACTAAATAGTAAATTAACAAAATATAGTTCTTAAAATTATTATGAGGTATAATAACTAATTATTAGCTGTTATAAGAAAATATGTTAACCCTTTTATATATTTTTGTTTGAGAAGTGTCTACAAAATACTATGAATAATTTTTACTTGAAAAAATCAAAGCTTCGGACCACATCTATAAAATGTGTTTAATTATTTTTATTTCGTAAGTACTAAAGTAAAAAAAAAATAGTTTAAGTACAAAGTACCCAATAGAACAATTTAATGATAATCTAAATAAAATGCGTCTAATGGAAATCGACCGGTTAATAGAATCAAAACGACTTGCACAAATGTGATTATTACATTGAGTGGAACTCATACCGATTATGACGGTTTATGTCCATCACGTTTTGTTATTTTTACAAATCGTAAAAAGAAAAACCAAAACCGGGACGGTGACCTCCACTAGAGGAAGATGAGGAAGAGAAGGAGAAGAAGAAGAACTAGAAAACTAGAAGAGTCAATTTCTATATGTAAATTTTTTGTTGGTTATCATAATAATAATAATATATTGTATTATTTTAGAGGCGGTCTCAAAGGGCCACAGTGTATAGTTCTTCTTCTTCTTATTATTATTATTATAATAATTATAGTTACGAGAAGACTGGCGACGACCGTGGTGTACAACAACAACAACAATAATAATAATAATAATAATAATAATAGTAATAATATATAATAATATTAAATGTAGGAGTACCGGTCAGAACCGTGGTGCGCCCAGACGAGACGGCAGGAAAATAAAAAATTTAAACACCGCCGCCTCCGTTCACTTTCACTCAGACTGCGCGCGTGCGACTTCTGCCAGCAACTGCAGTCGACAGTCGTTCAGTTACGTGCTGGTCGCGTGCGCCTTAGCTGCTGCGGTGGTCACGACGAAGACACACACTTCGCGCTTTACAGACACGGTATCGAAAATTCGCACGTGAGTACACTTTACACTTATCTATGAACACAAACACCGTTTTTGTCGTATTATAACTATCGAATTATTTCGGGTTTGCGGTATTCACAATAATGCGTTAGGTTAGATTAGGTTAGGGTTTACTTGACGACCGACTCTGTGGTCCTATTATACGGACGTGACATTGCAGGGCAGTGGTCATATGGGCGACTTGCATAATATTATTTTGTACCGTTTGGGCGAGTGAAATTTTTTTTACCTCCGTCAGTGATATGATGGACACAGATGGGCATATAATTGTATTCAATTCATTTTCTACTGTACTATGCATAAAGTATATGTTTATATTAACAGTTATCGCCGATTTATTTTTAAAGTTAGAGTTTACTATTAATAATTATGTTTATTGTAAGCGATTTAATTATTTTTTTTTTATAACACTAGATATGGTAATTATACTATACATATTTTAATTTGCCAATAAAATTATAAGTCTGTATCTATACTTATTCGCCCAAACGGTGTAGAACTATATTCATCCCAAAAGACCAGACCTTGGATCGAATCGACCGAACAGTCTACGTGCCGGTGACATTTACCACTCTACGGACTCGCAGGTCTTATACTCACTACTTACGTGTAGATACTGCATCATACGTAGGAACGAGCTTAATTCTTTTGGGCGTAAACTACCCAAAATTGACTCAAGTTATAAGAATCCGTCAAATTGATAACCTATTGTTTGAGTGAATTTACATATTTAACACTATGTCAGCACGCTATTTGTGTATACCCTTGCTCTGACCCCCCATGCAATATATTAAATAGCAAATTTGGACTCAAAATATTCAATTTTATGTTGTTAGCTATGATATTAGAGTGAATTATTTACATACCATCGAATTTCAAAAGTCAAGAAAATTATTTGTTTTTATTTACGATATATTTAACTTTTCTACCAACTTTTTTTTAATAATTTACTACACATCATATCAACACTACAATAAGTACTTGCATAAATTATGTCCAAGTAAAATTTTTTAACCATACCACTATACCTGACAGTTAAAACTAACTGCAGAGAAAGTCCTATAACTCTAAAAATGGGAAAATGCATTAGTTGTGTTAGGCTCATATGAATTTTAACCAAACGAATTAATATATCAACAATTCGCCCAAGCAATATGTAATTTTAGGAATTCTGCCAAAATGAAATCAGCTCATCATAACGTCGTTTTCACAAATGTGGTTGCATAGTTAGGTATACAGTAGCGTATATAAGAAACACCTGATACATAAAAAAAATACTTGTTAAACTTAAGACAAAAATTTTGAAAATAATATCGATAAAAAGTTATTTAAGGAAATCCCAAAAAGTATAATTTGAAAAAAAAATCAATATTAATTAACTTCAAAAAATAAACATTTTTAACACTAACAGTTAGATTTACAAATTGGCTATTTTTATTTTCAAGAGTTATTTTATTTGTCAAGTCTTTCTGTTACACCTTTTTTTTGTGGTACGATGATCGAGAGAGGAACGGCAATACTTCTCTCCCATCCCCAAACATTTATTGTTGACATCAAAACAAATTAATTAGACAACAATAGCATCAAGTGGATCACGGGCTTATGACTTTCCTTAGACAATGATAGTAAAATATATGTCTGCCAAGGAGCCAGGCTCGGAGGGTTTACATCGACGACATAAAGCGGTATAGTGCAACTAGAGCAGTATTTATTCGATATTTTAATTTTCAAGCGAGAAATAGCTGATATAGGTATGTAAAATATCACAAATTCAAAATTCTTATACCTCACTTAAATATTCAAATATCAAATAAAAACCGATGCTTCAGCACAGATATTGTTCTCACCTAAAACTTTTTTAATAAGTAAATTCACTATACTATCAAAATGAACAGCACACTATTGAAACTAATGAACTAAAATGTACTATGTCGTACGTGTGTAAACGGAGATAACAAATGCACGGATAGCACCCTATTAATAAAAAAGGAAATCTATTTTCGATTTCAATAATTTTATTTTAGACTGCGGAACCGAACCATCATTTTGAGTTTCTGTATTTTGGGGTTTTCATGTCCTTAGACATATTGAACCTATTTTAAATATGTGTTTCAATTCAAAAATATTATTATAATTTTTAATTTCGAGAAAAATGTATAGGTATCATGAAAAAATACAAAACATAAATTTTAAAAAATTTGGAAAAATCCTGCGCACGTCTATATTGATCTAAATTTCTTTCGTTGTAGCTCAAATTAGATCTTTGTGATAATTGGATAAAAAATTTAAATCGAGTACTTCGTATTCCACTCGTTGCGGTTATCATACCAATATGGATACCTATTACAATATTGTATTATTACTAGAATTCGGATTTAAAAACAATATAAACACTTAAAATGTGAAAAAAGGCCAAAAAAAGCTTTTAATTAATATAAAACAGCGATTAAAAAATTAAATACACAATTTAATATATTTATGTAAAATTTTACTAGTTAGCTTAAAAAAAAATTAACTACATTATATGAACACTCATTTTATTCTAAAAAACTTTGATGGTTTGGGCTTAAAATATTTGTAAAGAAATTACTACACACAGTAATAATATGACTGTAGGGTTCGGAACTTGTTGCACTAAAAATGTCCGGAGTATGCAATTCAAATTAGAAAAAAAATTCTCTACAATTTAGGGTGTTAATAATCTACGGAAGAACCTTCCGTAGGACTGATTATACCTCTGACCAACAATTTAAAAGAACGGCATGTGACAGGCATAAATGACTACAACGGTAAGGCTCGGCCTTTAAAAGCTGATGATAAATTGATGAATAGCAATGACTTTAGTACTATAAATGAATTAATGGTCTCGTGTGTTTCGTTATCGTTCCCATAATCGCTATAATGATTATAAATTATACTTATATTGAGTATATTACCTATATTACCTATATTAATTTTGGTTTCCGGTTCTTTGACGTGGCTCGCTCTACGTCCCTGGGAGTCATGACGCACACTTCGAATGACTTTGTTCTTAACTATAGTTAAGAGTAAATGTAGGTAATTAGTTAGTTTAAAATGATGCACTTCTTTGATATCAATAATTGTCACGAAACGCTCAAATTTATCAAACATGCCTTTTCAATAATCCATGCAAGAATAGTCATATCGAACCTGAATAAATTATGAGAAATAGGATGATGATTTAATCTCATATTAACCTTGATCAACTATATTTATATAAATACTAAACTTTGCTTACTGCTCTTTAATATTTCCCATATAACTAAGTAAGCGTGAGGAGAAACTATATACAAATATACTGAAGAAATGTAAGCCATCAGAGCTTACACCCTCGTATTTTTTACAAATGTAAAACATACCAAAAACTGTTTTGCGGGAAGAAAGAATCAAGAAGACTATACAGTTTTACTAAGAAACCAAATTTTCACCTCGAATAGAAGAGTATCTCAACTGTGTTGTCGATTTTTATTATTTCGATAAAACCAACATATCAAAAGTTATTTAAATTTGGAAAACGCGTAAAAATATCAGTTTTTAAAGGATTATAATTTTTTTCTTTTTAAAGATATCAAACAAATAAAAGCGAACACAGACCTATCAACCCAGACATCAACCTAATTTGGAAATATTTTTTGAATTTATATATATGGAGTGATATTCTACGGGATGCATTGAACTTCGTTGTTCATTATTTTAATCTCAAGCTTTATAATAAAATGTCTTCAAAAAAAATACAATTTTAAGTTTTTTTTACAATTTGAATACACCATTATTTGAAATAATATAAAAAATCAGAGTTCAATGAGGCTTGTAAGAAGTCTTCTTTCAGATTAAACATTTTTTATTGAAATTTGATAATTCTACGAGACCTGAGAAATATTCCTGTGAAGTCATTTTTTAGATATAATACAGCGTATAATTATATAAGTCCCCCTGAATAGGTGTCGGGTCGTAGACAAGCGGAAAAGTATTATAATTAATTTAGAAACTAAAATGTAAAATATAATTTATAAAAAACCGTCACCGGGCCCCTTAATAGGGTTTTGATGTATTTATTTCTCAAATTTGATGATTGATAAACATTAACAAATTGCTTACAAATGTATCAAATTCAATAATGAATATTGGGAGTATGTTTAATGTTATGTTAACGTCGATTATATAATGTATATGTTTCATTTTAAATTATACTTATGAATTAATAGATTACTTTAAGCTATCCAATAGTTAGACTGCGGGTATAGCCGTGTAGGTAGTAATCCATCCATTTCTGAAAATAAGGAAATTGTAAAAATAATATTATGTATGTTAAAAAAAATGTGATTCTATCGATTTAAACAAAAAAAACGTTACTCATAGTATCGATCCAAAAGTTTTAATACCTAATAATAAAAAATTACAGGTATATCGTATATGTAATAGGAAACCATTACCACGCCAATTAAATCTCTCCATCGCAATTCCAACTATATACGTTTATAATTTTATATACAATTTGCGTCTTCTTATAAGGACATTATACAAAAGTATTACTCACACAGTACGATTATTTTTGTCAAACAAAAATCTTTAGTGTTTGAAGTCTTCTAAAAAATAAAATATCTTTTGATCGAAATCATTTGAACGATCCGCTAGTATACTACCACCTGTTAAATTCATTAAAAATGTCTTTGATAACATATTATATATAATTATATTACATTATCAGTTTATAGTTTATATTGTCACTGTTATTACTTAAAATCACAGGTGCCTCAATAATTGCACCCATGACGATAATATAATAAACGCATATCAATACCTCATATCCATAGAATAATAATCTCATTGGATTTTTTCAAATAATAAATTTGGACGAATGTGTTGATTAACACAAAAGTACTTTTAACCATGTCATGTGCTATTACAATAGATCAGTGATATGTGCATAATATCATTATTATTACGATGATGGTGTTGTGTAATATAATACTATAATAACATTATTATGCATAATATACGTCTTCAAAGCACCTACGTACCAAAATTTCACTTGCGGTGTCGAGATCGCAGTACGAGAAATATACATTACAGTTCAGTCTTCCGTAAAAACGAATTTTATTTTCGTGAGATTAGAAAATAACAGCTGAGAACAATGGATAATGTGCTACAAAAGTGAGATATTATTTTCATATACCTAAGCATATTTAACAGTTGATATAAAAACACTAATTTAATTTCGAGCTCGATTTTCTTGGTTATTGTTTCTTTTTTTTATTAATTTATTTATAACTCCAACTACTAATACAGGATGTAACCAACATGAATAATACTTGACAAATGAAAAAAGATAATGGACACTAGTATTAAATGTATTAAAAAAATGATATCTGTAGTAAATAATTTAAAAAATAAACTTATTATTATGTCAGATTATTTTGCAAAAAGTGATTGAGTTTCAAATTAATAATTTACTCCAAAAAAATATTGATATTTAAAAAACTACTTAATTTGAATAAACGTTTTTACTATAAAAATTCGTCTAAAAATTAAACTTACAAGCTGGCTATTTTGAATTTTTCCAAAAAAATTTAATAAATTTTTCTTATTTTTGGTACTAAAAACCCGAACCTAAATAATAAAATATGTTTTACTGTATTTTTATATAGTTTTCTTTTAAACAAATATGTATATATTATTATTATTATAAATTACTTAATACCTTGAATCAATATAGTAATATATACTTAATCATCTTAAGTATATTTTAATTCTTGCTTAACACTGATATTATGAACAATCAATTTAACTAATTTAAGAGTCCAATATATAAATTATTAATACATTTATAATGTTAGATTTCATTAGGCCTTTCTTTCATTTGTTTTTAAGGGTATCAGCTCAAGATGTCTGTTGTCATAATAATTATAATATGTCTTGTACGCTCAAGTGATCTTATCTGTGTGATTTAAGTAGGTAGGTACCTATATGTTTTCTAGCATCTGTTACATCAATAATTATTGTACCCAACAAATCGTATTTAAATAGAAGTTACAATAATTGTTTATTTTGTATTTACTTTATGATGTGCCTAAAAAGTAAAAATATAATTCATATTTCATTCTATGTATAAAACGTATGGGTGCCTACACATAATATAATTAAGTGTATTACACACACGAATTTATAAATTATTATTGAAAAACAAATTGGAGTAAAATGTATGCCAAGGTCTCTGTAATTCTTGCAAATTCTTCGTTTATATACCATTTGATAATTTGTATTATCGTAGCCATATGAATGTCTCTGTCTGTAAACTAACATATTCTAATTTTATACACAAAAATTATATTTTTCTGCTGTAGTATGCAAACGGGTAGGTTATAATATAAACATGTTTTTAACATCGACATTTGAATGAAACATATATTGCATATTTTGTTAGATAAAATGTACGGATTTAAATTTATTATTTGCGAAATATTTCCTGATGAGCGATTATTTTGTTCATAATGTTAAATGGTCAAATTTAAATTCGAATTACTAATCACGACTACCTTAATTTATCATTTTAAAATAAAAATACGGTATAAACGAAGTAAGGAAAATTATTTTTAATCAAGTCTGAAGGATATAATATGCGGATTGATTGTATCATAATGTGGTATTTTGATATATTATTATCGTACTAATGAGTAACGCATTTCAAACTTGAAAAAATAAACCCAACAATCTTTACATTTTTTTCCCTATAATCTATAATATGACTAAGAGTATTACTTTTAAGAGGTTTATACCTACGTAATATATTATTACTTGTTGGAGCTTTTACGAAATTCCAAAACTAATCGTATTTCCTGTCACTATACATTATATTAGATCCGAAGGTTGAGTCGTTTTCATCGAACCACACAATATTATATTATCACGTCTCGAATATACAGAGTGTAACAGAAAGACCAGATAAATAAAAATAAAATATTGACACTTGTTAAACGTATGACAAAAATTGTTGTGAAAATTATATGTATAGTAAATAATTTAAGAAGTATAATACTTCTCAGGAAATTTCCAAAAATATTACTAAAAAATTAAAAAAATTGTAAAAAATAAACTACTTGACTTGAATAACCACTTTTTCCTTAAAAATTAGATTTACAGTTGGCTTTTTTGAATTTTTATAAAAAAAATGTAATTAAATTTTTTATTTTCAGTATTAAAAAGTAAAAATATAAAATTCTATACTGTACCAATTTGTAGCACAACTGTCTATAAATTATATTGTAAAAAAAGTTTAAATATTGAAAAGTCATTTCGTTTGTCAAGTCATTCTATTACACTCTGTATACCTCACCCCTCAAGTCTTTTAATGTGTATTGCATTATTTACAAGGTCGTTGCAGCAGCTTTAAACAGCCGTTGGAAACATAAATTATACATGCACAATGTCATTATCTTTCTTTTGCGGTCGAGCTATATATATATTGTTGTATTTTATGGTCCAGTTAAATTGGTTAAGTAGCTACGGTAATAATAATAATAGGTAGGTTAGTGTAATATATATATATATATGTGTGTAGGCACCTATCTTTATTATAATATGTGTTGATTATCACCGCGGTTGCACGAAGACTGATCGACTCTCGGCTGGATTGATCTTCACCGTCCACTGCGATGTGAATCGGCAAAATTTTTCAGCAATCATCTCGAAATCGTAATGAAGAAACGCTAACGTAAAAATATTACTGCAACCTTGACCCGTTTGTACGCCCGGGTTTCTGCAATTACATCACTGTAGAGGGCCGGTTACCGTGGTATAATACCTAATACCGGTTGGACAGTGGAACACTCGAGCTGCACGGCCACAATAATAATATGATGTGTGCACGCGCTTATAATTGCTGCAGCATATCATAATATAGGTACCTAACTAATAGTATACGCATGGTGCCGGCGATCGAGGGTTACAATTTCTTAGACTTTCCAAAAACAAACGAATATTGTGAATATTAGGTAAATAATTGCAGTTTTTATTATAATTGTTTTAAAATATTCATGATCTACAATTGTTTATCTTTGTTTTATAATATATTATAATGAATATATTCAGAACATAATAGATAATAATTCAACTATATAATTATAATTATTATATATATTTATAATATTATAATTACTCATAATATACAATGTGTTATAATACAAAATATTCGTATTCGCGATTCAAATTTCCCGGGGACTAAATTATTAAATAATTGTATTATACTGTGTCGTTTGTTTTGTTAAATACTTCTATATATAATGTATATATGTGTGTGTGTGTCTGTGTGTGTGTATACGTATTCGTAGTATATACCTAATGAGTAATGACAATTGTGAAGTTCACGGATAAATTGCACAAGTGCACATGTGTAGATGATTGTCTCGCGAGCTTTCGAATATGAACAATAAGAGCATTGATATTGAATTTGAATAAAAAAAAATAACAAACAACTTTAGAAATGTGATTTAGAAATGGTTAATCTTATAGATTTCAAAACTTTCGAACTCGATATTATGATGCATATGGCTATAACATGATTTGAACTATGCAGAACATCCTATGACCTCTATTCGTTTTGGTTTAAACTAAAAATTTGATTTTTCAACTACCTTTTATTATGATTAATAGAAAACATACAAATAATTTGATATGAATTAGTCCAATAATCATCATACTACAATATTGCATTTAAAATATTACATAATACGATCGTGAACTGCGCTTATTCTTAAAAATTATGTATTTATTTAATACAATCAAGAATAATATTGTACTGTATCTATTTTGTTAGTTATAGATTCAAAGGTATGTTGCAGTGTGCAGTGTAGGTACCTACCAAGTAGGTTCATTCATTAACATTATTAAAAAATTGAATGTTGATTAAATCTTTTTGCAACCTGAATTTTAAGTAACATTTTTAATGATTCGTATATTGTGAGCTTTCTAAAGATACGACCTCGACAATTAACGTTATTTTTATGTACCGATTGGAATTGGGTAAATAATTGTCGTCATACGCGAAGAAAAAAAATAATAATTTGGTCGACAACATAGGTATTATATTAATACACGACGATAGTATAAAGCAGTGGTTCTCAACCAGCGTGTCGCGTATTATCAAGATGCGTATCGCCAAAAAAATGTATTTGTTTATATCGTGCATGTTGAAAGCATAGTGTAACGGTATTATGGGGTTATGAAGTGATGGTGAAAACAACAGATAAAAAGAACAATAATTGTGAAGATAATCTCATGGTTAATTCACATATCTATAGGCGTAGAGATTAATATTTGTAATACTTTTTCATAAATCCATTAATTGTTGAAAAGTATGTTGCCATGAATCTAAATTAGGGTGTTGTAAAAAAAGGTTGAGAAGGACTGGTATAAAGAGTTATTATTGAAATAACTTTTTATCGCGAACGCACGAGCTGACAATATTATTTTGTAAATCATTTTTATTCGCACATCAATTAATATAATAATCACTAATATCACTTCGTCGTTTATATTTTGCAGAATGATCTGACACCAAGCATGAACATGAAAGAGCCATGGCCGGCCATACAATCACGAGTTACCAAACATTACTATACCTGTTCACGTTCGTCGCAATCGGTACGTGCTAGCGGTCGTTCGGGTCGACTGCGGTGTTAATACCTACTTAATCATACATTATGCACTAATTATATAATTAAAATATATATTATTAATATATATTGAGTTATAGGATTTAGTCTGGGTAGTGCCTATATAACTGCAACAATGCAGCTTTTTAATTATTGTGCTCACAACTATCATCATATTATAGGCAACGATGATGTTATAATGATAGTGTTCGATATATTCTAGCTTTGGTAGAGATGAAAATATCGGTGCGCCGTAACTCCGCACGGATCGTCGCCATTTTATAATATATCACCTTAACTCCGCATACAAGGTTTTTTTTCGACACCTTAACTCCGCATACGAAGTTTTTTTTAAACACCCTAACTCCGCATAAAAGATTTTTTTTGACACTGTAACTCCGCACATATTTTTTTTAATGTTTAAAATATACAAAATACAATACATATTATTAAAGTTAAATAAAAATAATATTAGACTGCAGGTAATACTAGGTAATTATAAAATATAAAATTAATAATAATTAATGCATACAAAAAAAATCGTCATTGTCGGTATAAAATGTATCTAACAAAAATTATAATAATTAATGCATACAACGAAAAATCGTTAAAATTATAATGTAAGTTAAAATAAGTAAAAATAAAATATTATTAAACGAAGCCAAACTTTTTACAAAACTATATCTATCTATTTGGTTGTTATTATATAATTCGATTTTTTTATTTATAAATTGTATATTATTTTTTAGTTTTCTTCTAATTATCCTACTTTCGTTATTATTGGCAGAATTCATTCTTATATAAGAATCCGTCTGCATAGCTAATAAATGTTTAATGAATACAGCAATATTTGGATGTGCTGATGTAAATAAAAATTTTTATAATGCGGAGTTACGGTGCGTTCGTTTTTTCAACCATGCGGAGATACGGTGCGTTTGTATTTTCGACCGTGCGGAGATACGGTGCATGCGGAGTTACGGATTCACAAAATATTTTTATTCATGCGGAGCTATGGTGCGTTCGAAAATATAGGTCCATGTAAGCCTGCAGTAAAATAGACGGGGTTGAATGTCTCAAAAAATATAAATCGATAAAGCTCATGTGTTAAAACTTTGAACTATTTGTTTTGGTTTCGATAAATCCATTCATTACAAATTGGAGTGTTCGATGATAAATATCAATATATCAATACGTAATAACGACGCCGAGCTTTCGTTTCCTGAGACAATAAAATAATGTTTTTCGAGGCCTTGGATTGTAGCTGCCAGGCGCAACAATACCATGAATATAAAAAGACTTTAACGCACTAAATTATGTAATCATACGTTTTAATATAATATGTTTATTAAATACCCAATAAAACGGCAAAATATGGTGTGTAAAATATCAAATAAATAAACCATAATATAAGTTGAGCTATTAAAAAATAAAATATTTTAAACTAATATAATATTAAATAATAATGTTTAAATAATTTAAATAAAAAATGATTTATTTTATATTTATATTATACACTAACTGTTATCACTTAAAATGATTGTGTATAGCCACATTAGTGTATATTGTATTTGATATATTTTAGCTATGATCAATTATAGATAGAGATAAGGATGGATGCCCTCAAAAATAAAGTCGAAAAGATCATCACTTTTTTAAATGTTTGAACAATGATTTTATCAAGTATAACAACGGAAAAATACTTAGTCGTTCACAAGCGTTAAAAGTTTGGACTATCTATTTCGGTTTCGATAAAACTATATTCATTACGGATCGCTATGTTCGGTAAATATTTAAAAGTCGAATAACGTATTAACGTCGCTAAGCTTTTGTTTCGTAAGACAATAATATTATGTTTTCGAGGCCCTTGGATTGCTGTTGGCCACACAAATGCCATAGATAAAAATACTTTTACAACGCACTAAAAATCATGTCACTCTTAATAACTATTTAATTATAATATATGCCTATAAAAATTCCCTATAAAACGTAAAAATAGGCAATCTTATATATTGAACAGCGACTGATCTTTTAGGTAGTTTATTTATAAAATATAATAATAATTGACCAAAAATTCTGCCTCCATGTCAGCAAGGTTTGCCTATGCTGTGGGGCGCACTAGTGCTCAATATCAATACTACAACCAAAAAGACTTTAATGCACTAAAATATCAAATAAATAATTAATATACATATATTGAACTGTTAAAATGTAAAATATAAAATAATGTATCTATACTTACGTACAAATAATTCAAATAAAAAAAGGTCGACGTATAATGTACTTATATACATATATATATATATATATATATATATATATATATTACATGCTATGCTTTTAAAGTTAAATAGTCAAAAATATGCAAATACTCATTAATTATGTACCTTATATGTATATAGGTACTAGGTAATTGTTAAGTATGCTCACCCCCCCCCCTTCATTTTTCATTTAAATTAAATAAATTTATTCAATTTCTGAATTTTTATTTTAATACCTTATTATACCTAGAGACCATATTTTAAAATTCCTGATATTTTTTGTGCCACTTAAGTAATGTCTTGTGTTATTTTTTTCTAAATGAAAACTCCCATATTTTACTGCAAATTATTAAATGGATGATTTCCTTGAATATCTTGTTGCATCTAAATTAAAATTTTAATGAGTAGTACATTCATTGTTAAAATGCTTATACTTAGTATAATCATTTTTTAAAATATTATTACAAAAATATAAATTCTTTGCGATGTTTGATTTAATATTTATTATAACTACTTGAACCATTTTTTTAAATGATTTTTTATAATTTAGGTACATATTATTATCTTTTGTGCCCAACGTTGTATAACTCATAAACCAGTCTTCCGAATTTTAATTTAGAAATACATTTCTATCCTTCACTCCAACTTTAACTACATATACATGTATTGAAGGAGACAACAATGTATGCGAATGCGTATAATTAGAATCCATCCTAAATATACACTGCAGGCACGTTAACTAACGTTTCCTTGTTTTAGGCGAAATACTGTGTCAGGGTAGAGAAGTCCCTGCAGCGAGACTGCAAACGCCACTGCCGAAGGGACGCGCCATACCAGTAGCCTCCGCCAACGGCGGTCCTGCGGCGAATGCCATCGGCCGCCCGACTAAACAACAGCAGCAGGACACAATCCAGAAACAAACCACGCCGACTCCGCCGGTCTCGGTCAAAGAACTATTCAATTCTTCATCGTGCGTCGAACCTCCGTTCACGTGCCCTCATCCGAAGATTCAGTTTTACTTGTACACCAGGTACTACGTAAATAATAATAATAATAATAATAATACAGGTTGTAACAAGGAAGAATTGAGAACTAATGTAAAATCACTTCTGACAAACCGTGTAAAGGAATGAAAAGTATTGATTGGAAAAAAAAACAATATGACTTGCCACGTTGTAGTTAATAATTATCAATTACATATTAAATTAGTTCTTTCTGCGTGAATGTGAATTATTTTTATGTCCATATCTGAGGGACGACGAGATTTTCCCTATTTAGTATTTCCTAGAGTAAATAGGTTCACAAAATTATATTAAAATATTCGAATTGTTAATATTTACTTCACGCTAAGTGCGTTATGCGGAACTTATTTAAAACGATCTCAATAGTTTTTATGACCATTGCTACGAGTATAAATTATTAATTTATTTATGCTTAAATTTCTATTCCTTACTACTATATAAAAAAAAACGGTGCACGCAATTACCCAGTCAACGATATCGAAGAAGTGAGATTTATCATTTTGATTCGTCCTTTCATTTAATGGCGACTATATATTTATATGGAAAATATTAAATAACCCATCTCCAAAGTCGTGTTTTATTAATCAAAACTGTTAATTCCCCGTTCACTGTTAGTCCAACCGATCCATCTATTGCAGTGGCATATTCAAGTGTCCAAGGGGGGTACAGCCCCCTCCCCAATAATCAATATTTGGGAATAATTTAAAAATGATACCGGTGTTCTGCTTACGTATAAGACGTACTAACTATTGTCTATTTATTATAATATGTATTGTAATTTGTATGATGGCCGCTGCAAAAGTCTAAAACTGTAATACTGTATGTATTCACACACCATCAGCAATCAGGATACTAAATGTATCGTATAGTTAAGCCTCCCTTATACAACTAATTATCAGCCCCCCCCCCTCCCCCGCCTAAAAAAGGGGGAAATCCTGTTAACTCCACTTGATTATACATTCAATCTAATAGGTTAATTTGCCAAAAGCTAAATTTACAACCTAATCTTTGTTCAAACTACCAGCTAATTTTATCACATTAAAAGTTTTAAACCCAAAAATGTGGGAAAGAAAATTGTACATAATGTAAAGTAGTAAAATGAGCCAAAGTTGAGTAAATAGAACAATTTTCTATTAACTTTTTATATTTAAGTGTATACTTATAAATTGTTACTTAAAATTGTAATTAACGTTGTTTATTGTATCATCTTAAATATTATGTTGTTGAACATCGTTTAATAATAATATTAATATTTAACTATCAAAAAAGACCTTTTTAGTCGTATTATTTTGTTTTTTATCACTTTTGTACATTATGAATATTCGGAATCAGTTACCATTTAAAATTGTGAATAACTTATTTTTTATATTTTTAATAATAAAAAATGGGACAGTGCCATTTTACCACACAATAATTTCCCCCACTATGCCCCTTGAGCACTAAAAGAATTTTTAATACAACTTAAAAGAACTTGATTATACGAAAAAGTACAGTGAGATATTGTATAATTAATAAATAATTAATTATTCTTAATTTGAAATTGATTTGCTTTTCCCGAAAAATAAGTCATCGTTAGCAAACGAAATTTGAAAAACATGTTTATTAGGATGTCCGTCATTATTATCAATCTGTTGATTGCTGCTTTCTTTTTAAAAAACCATCTCATTTACCTGCAAAAAATATTCAAAACACGTTTCATTTATCGTCGTATAATGTCATGCTTTACGTTGGCAGTAATCGGTTGTCCATCTCTTATCCCATATTTTATCTTTGCACCATGTACCCTCTCCACCCCATGCATCTTTCACTCATTTAGACTCACGGAAAACCGAATTAAGACTGTTTGAAAAAAATTAAAAAGCCTCGGCATTATAACTTGGGTTTCATTATGATGGTCGGCTTGCGATGATTGCATATTTATTATATTATTACTATATAGCATAGGACGTAGGTCTTAGTACGATAATATATTATATTATACTTTCTCTCGTTTCGTGGCTTTCGTTTACACCGAAATATCCATAATAATAATAATAATAATAATATCTATATATTATTTAACCACTCGTTGTTTCAGGCTCACGCAGAACAATCCCGACTTGTTGGACGTGACTGATCCCGAATCGCTGTACAAGTCTCATTTCAACCCCAAGCATCCGGTCAAGATTATCATACATGGTTTCCAAGGTGGCAGAAACCTGTCGCCGAGTACCGATCTCCGGAACGGTAAGTCAAAAATAGTTCTCCCGGTGGTAAACTATCCCGGATCTATACTTCAGTACTACCCGACGGATACGGTACAATGGTACATATTATTGTTAAACCTCCCGGGTCTGTAATAATAATATTATGGCTATCATTATTATTATTATTATTATTAGGAATAATAATTGAGATATTAATATGTTAAAAATTAAATTGAAAAAGTTCAATTCAACCAGATACCTACAAAAACTAGTTAGTGAAATGAATATTATAATAATATACTCGCCAGTCGCCATGATTCATTTTGTTTGGTTTTATTTCAATTTTATATCGACTGTAAAATAAATATTTTATTCGATTATATTATTATATATTGAGAAATTCAATGAGTGTATATGCTTATACATTTTAAACTAAGATATTATACAGAGTGATTTACAAGAATAAACCATTCTTTTTTCACCGTTTTTTTTTTTTATTGGTACCTAATTAGTTAATTCAAATTCTTGTATTTAGAATTCTGAAGTATACTGAAGTATACTTTCAAAATGCTTAATTTTTTATGACATTTAAAGATTGACCTGTGTCAACACAAACTTGTTTTATTCAAATGAGATCTGCCCTTTTTTACTGCGTACCTATATTGTTCATTCAATTTTTTTTTATTGTTGCTGAATATAATATACTTAAATCAAAATTCAAACACGTAGTTCCTAAATTATTAAACTTAATGTACCGACTGCTAGGTAAGAATATTACTATAATAGACAACAGTCCTCCGAGTAATGAATTAAAACCTATGGTAGCTATGATTATTTAAAAATTATCGTAATTCATATTAATAAATAATAAACGTTTCATGTTTGTAAAAATTAGGTACTAGAAAGGATATTACGTCTATTTTACAGTAAAACCATAATCGAGGATTATTATCCTCAGCACATAAAGTTTAATTACTTAACAATTCACAGTTAAAAGGGTGTAGGTTCTCATTTGACAGTTGTCACCTAATCATACAAATTTGGAGAACTTCCATAGATAGTAAATACATATTAACAAAGTAGGTATAAAATTAGCTATGCTCGATGAGTCAAGCCAAAAAATCCTTGGACCTACATTTTAATAATCAGTATGAATCACTTCCTCGTCATATGTTTTTTGTTTTTTTTTTTTAACATTTTGTCGTGTGTTGCAGCTTATTTCACTCGAGGAAACTATAATATAATCATAGTGGACTACTCGAGTTTGGCGCAAATACCTTGTCTGAACCAAGTGGAATGGGCCCCCAGATTTTGTGGTATGTGCATCGCTCAACTGGCCAACTACTTGGCCGACCATCCTAGAGGAGTTCCTCCCGACAAGCTGCATATGATGGGGTAACGTATAGTTCACCATAGCCTATAAATAGTTATACGATAATGTTTAGTGCATACAGCTTGCGCACCGTGCACTGAGTTGTATGGTTTTTCTGTGTTTTCATATATACGGAAAGGTGTGGAAAACCACGACTACTATGCCCTGGATCGGCGGTGGTCTTTCAGGAGACAGTGGCAATCAAGGAGGTCCCCTCCCTCTCCTTTGGTCACCGTATATGTTTAGATACCCTATACAATGTGTCCCGGGGGGAAGTGAACAGCCGGCGTCTGCTAATTGTTAACAGTTAATTTTAATTTTTTTAAATTTAATAAAAATAATTTGTTAGCTTCTGGTGTAATTGTGCATGTTATTTGATTGACACCACACCGAAATAGTTTTAAAATTTTAAAAAAATACGATAAAAAGGTGAAAAGTTTTTATGATACATTAGCAAATGAGTAGTAGGTAAGTATATTTTTACGAGTATATTAAAAATCGAATTTCAAACGAGCCGTTAATTTGTTATAATTTTATAAATATTTCTGTGAGCGGAGTAGTAGCTTGTCATGACTTTAAAACAATACTATTATTATAACTAGATAAGTAACTGGCTACTAGAAATTTGAAAATCTGAAAAATATTCTACACCGGAGTATGAAAGTAAAAATGTGTATCGCCTTTAAAAAGTAAAAAATAATAAATCATAACGATAAAAATAAGTGAAACTAAAATTTTCTTCATAACTGTCAATTTTGATAACTACGAATTATGTTTAAAAATTATGAGTGTCTTGCATTAAATCACCTTGTGTATGGTTTGTTTCGTTTTCCACAGCTAATCTAGAATGAGAAATAATACAACGTCCGCTTTTAATTTAGTTGTAAAAACTACGTGAATATAATTTGCTTACGAGATAGTAAATAGTCGAAATATTGTCAAAATCTACTTAATTATTCCCTTTCACCAGCATACCGTCCAAAATTGTGTTGTATTCGAAAACCGGAACATCCGATTAGGTTTTGCAATAGAATCACTGACTCCACCGAGGGACGTTCTGCAGTTGTAATCTATTACAAAATAAAATGTAAAAAATATTTTTAAATTAAATTAGTATATTATAATGAACACATAATAATAACAGACTGCTGTACCAAAATGGATAGCGCAGATATAGCGAGCATAATTTTTTACATATCTATACTCAATTAGTCGTAAATAATAATTATTCTCAGTTTCTTGCACGTTAAGTCTTTGTGCATAAAGAGTAAAACAACACGAAGTTAACATTATCACTATTTTTCTAAACACCAAACTTAAATCATAATTGTATAATATGATATTATGATGGTATCGAAAAATTGCTAATTTTTTAAACACAATTTAAGTTCTAACAATAATCAATATGGAACTACGGTTTTTTGATTCGAGTATCCTAAAACGAATTTATATCGACCTGATTTCGCTAATTTTCATACTCTCTGTATTATATTATAAGTCTTATAAGTTATCATCACCGCTCTAAAAATTGAAAGTGCATCAACTTCCTGGCCCTGGGGTAAATACAATAATAACTACAACAATAGGTGTTAATATTACTTATTATATATAAGTAGCATTGTTAAAACCATTTTCCGCTCTACTATCACCTAAAAATTTAGTTATTATACAAAATCACAGTCATAATACGTTTATTGTAGGTATGCGTTTCGTAACACAAATACACAACATATTCTCTCAAATATTTAGGTGCCTCAAAGTCATTTCCAATTTAGGCAAAACCTCTAAAGGTCAAAACACCTGTAAGCGTATACAATATTACCAGACACGTATTTAGAGGAGTGGGAGGATAGAAAATTGTTCACTTATTAAGGGGGTGGTAAATTTATGTTGACATATTATTATAATATTACTGTGTTATTTTCATAAATTTGTCGGAAAATATTATTAATATTTACCGTTTACTATCAGAGTCACAAAAACGGAAGTATACCCTAATATAATAATTTAGTAAAAATACTTTTCTTTGTTCATAATATAGACATATAGTATTACAATATTCAATTAATTAAATTCGTCAATGTGCTAAGGAATATGTATAGTGTATACAGCTTATCCATATGAGAGGAAAATAACTATAGTAATAGATGAAATATTCACATTCATATTTTTAAAGGTAAACTATATTTTGTTACATTTTTAAGATGATTATTCTTAATAAATTTGACAAAAACACACATAATTATGTGTATAAATAATAAATATACATAAATACAGTGAATATATACAGGCTAAAATACGTTTCTTTGGAAAATAAAATGCCCTAATATAGCCCTGGATTTTGCAGCAGTAGTAACGAACATTTAGAGATTCCATATTATAAAGCTGTATTTGAACATTTTGTGCCCCGGGGTCACATATTTTTGCCCTCGCCCCAAAATCTATGACTATTTTGTTATAGACAATGTTGATCCATAGAAAATCGAACCAACTATCTATGCTACTCTCATTATTATAATATTGGAAAATAATAATGTATACACATATATTATAATAGGTGTGTTTTTGTCAAATAGGGGTTCCAATAAATGTAGTGTGTATGGTCAAGCCTGCAGCAGCTGGTTGATGGTCACACAAGGCTTACATATTGTTTCTAGTATATACTTGTACACTTGTCTGTACGACATGGTATGCGGTGACTTGTTTCGAAATGAACAATTATTGTTATTTTTTATTATATGTTTATTCTATACGAAAACAGGTTTCATACAAGGAATTACATAGTCAGATTAATTTTAAAGCAATGTGTTACCTATTGGTAGAAATTCGACCTTTCATGAGATTTAGTTTTAGTAACTATAAAACGTTATATTATGTTGCATTCAATATAATATAAAATTATCGTATATAATTTTGCCAATTATTTATTATATAGTAACAACATTTCATGCGATGATGCGTGCCATGAATGGATTTAATTGTAATCTTAAAAATGTAATAATTTCATGAATAATATACAGATAAATCAAAGGCCCGATCAATATCATTTATAACAATATTTAAATAATAAAATAATAATATTAGATTGGTTGCAAAGGTCCAATCAAAAAATGTATTTTTAATACCTTTTTTATCAACATGCGTTTAAATTTTAACTATCATATAATATATTAATTATGACTAAGTATTCATAATATTATTATTAGTATATATTAGTTAAAATAAAAATATTTAATTAAAAAAGTATTATACTAAATGTGGGAGGAGTACAACCCTTTGATTATGTCACCAAGGAGTTTATTTAAAGGTAAACACTCATTTTTTTAAAGTTTTTAAAAAGTTTTGGAAATATTTATTTTAGATAATTTGAAATCATTACAAAGTAACATTTTTGAAAATAATATTTTATGATTTATAGTAGTTAATTATTATTTATTTATATGTTTAACATTTAAGATGAGCAGAGTAACGGGCCAACATTTTATTGCTTATTAAGTACCTCCACATAATAGATACCTATATAATTCTTTTTCAAGCTTATGTTGTTTTGTAATGACTTAAAATTATGTAAAAAAAATATTTCAAAAAACGTTCATACTTTTCAAAATCATGAGTATTTACTATTTAATGTGTCTCGAGCCAAAATAAAACAGACATTTTAAACATTAAAAAATTTATGAACCCCTACCTATATATATCTATAGAATACCATTTGAGACGATGTACAATTATGACCAAAAAAAAAAATGTTTGCGACGATCTGAAACACACACATAATATGGACGTAATATTGTATTCATTTATAGTTATTAATTATATCATTATCTAATGTATCATAATATTACTTTATATTATTTGTATTAAATATTTAAACTTTTCGTGCCATAATATTAATTATATTGTGCGCACCCCAGGTACAGCGTGGGTGCTCATATCGCAGGACTGGCGTCCAACTTCATCAACTCGGGAAAAATCGGCAGGATCACCGGCTTGGACCCGACAATCATATTCTACATGAGCAACAACAGATCCAGGGACCTTGATCCCACGGACGCTCATTTCGTGGACATCATACACACGGCGGCGGGCATCCTGGGTCAGTGGGGCCCCAGCGGACACGCCGATTTCTACGTAAATGGAGGCACTTCGCAGCCTGGTTGCGCCAGCGACAGCATCATACGTGAGTAATATTGTTCGAATTCCCAAGACCAGGAATTTATTGCGAATATTATTTCAAATACTTTTAAAATACAATATCATTTAACTATAATAATAATTAAACGTTAGGCGTATAAGTACCGTTGTATACTGTAAGGCAAGGCAGGGAAAGTCAACGTTTTTTTTACCGAGTTGAGTCTAATTATTAATTGACCTAGAAAAAAGTAAGTTGACATTTATTTTATACATTACTTAACTTTATTATAATAAAATTATAAAAATTAGCTCAACTTAGCTTTAAATATGAAATTTGACCTTTTTTAATCCTCTTTTTAACCTAAACCTAACCAATACATGGTTATATAATGTACATTCTATACATTACGATATTTTTGCAAGCTTCGACTCGTGTGCCCATATAGATGACTAAGCCGAAATCCGGGGATTTAGGCCTCCAGAAATTCAAATGCCCCCTCCCATCAAGTGGAATTGTATGTTTATCCATGGACCATGAACCTAAATAGTGATTATCGGATGTGGGCTGACCACTTAACTTTGGATAATGCTATCCCCCGAACAAAAAAATGTAACCTAATGTCACTTAAAGTTGAGCTCTAGTTAAGCTCAATTTTAGTTATTGACTCGTTAACACATTATACCAGCTTGGCAACTGTTGATCAGGAAGATATATATTTTAACCGTTTACTGAAAATTACACTTGATGTATAAGTGCTGCAGTTTCAGCAGATTCTTCAATCGGCGTTCAAGCATATAAGTATATAACATAATATATCATAAATGTATAGAAATAATTTTATATTTATGCAAATTATGAGTTTTATATAAATAGTCGTCATATTGTTCTAAAAACTACAGTACTTATATACCACATGTGTAGTAGACGGTCAAACATACCTTCCCGATCAACAGGTGACGAGGACAACACGCATAGTTAGAATAATACGACGAATGTATATAAAATGCATAATTTGCATAAATATAAAATGATATCCTTACATTTATTATGTATTATGTATTATGTAATATATATACACGAACGTCGATTGAAGATTCTGCTGAAACTCCGAGGCTGGACTTGAAAAAGTAAATTCGTAATTTTTTTTATATATTGTCTACCTACATCATATCATGAATACTACTCAATTGTTAAGACTAGCCTAGGGCTAGTAGCGCTGAACAATATTAGTTATACTTCAGCTAACCAGTTAAATATAAATATTAAATTGACTTGCCCAGCCTTGTTGAAAAGACACAATATTTAGCGGTAGGTAACTTATTGATCGTTGTCGTCCTTCTCCGACATTTCCGCAATGCATAATATTCGCCTAAGTACTTGTCCGACACGATGTCATACGCAATACTACCACTCGTTTTAATGATTTAAACACAAACACTTGTAGGTAAAAATAATAACTAATAATCAAATTAATATTCACTCGCATGCAAAAAAATCATTTTTCAATAACGACAATAAAAGTCAATTACCACTGCAGTTTTAATTTAAAGTTAAATATATTGGTTTCTCGGAAGTAAGAATTATTTCAAATCGGATAGAGGGTAACGTCTATGCATAAATTAATAATATATTATAATATTTATTCAAACATTGATCATAGTATTTACCTATTTATTACTAATACGTATAATAAATATTTCCTGTTTATAATTTAAGCAAAATTATTTTTTTTAAATTATTTGTTGTATAATAGATATAACACAGTTTAACAACTATAAAATTTAATCCATAATAATATTTAATATTTTGACTTATCAGTGATATGAAACTCTTAATTAAGTCATTAAAATAATTAAAATAATCACCACTAAATGGTTCTACTCATACTTATTATGACAACCAATAGGTATGATAAGTATTATGTAGGTACTTATACAGTATACATATTATACTTTTTTCGTACAATCAAAATGATGGCTCATTTAACTCCCGTCTTATAAAATGGTAAATATATCCAAACAGCTTCCGTTTAACAAATGCTCGGTTGATTCTCCAACGGTTCCCGCTTTTGACTGCACAAATTCTTTCTCACTTAACTGTCTCAAAAGAGGTTTGGTTAAAAATTTGATATTATTTTTTTTTTAACTGTATGTGTAAAGTAAATTATAAAATTGGCTTTAAATTATGCAAGTTATGCAAGTAAATTATACAGAACTGTTTTCGTCGAAAACCAAAGTTGTTTGGGAATATTTATGTATTTGTGAAACCTATTCGACAGGAGCTGTTTGGGAACCATAACAAACAATCATGGATGGGAGCCATTTAGGTTGCACCAAAAATTATTCTTTATACAATAATTATGCACCTATCTATGTGATAATATACAGTAAAACCTCCTTAAAACGGAATAGCTCGGTACCAAATTACTTTTCGTTATAAAAGCGTTTCCGTTACATGGAGAATAAAATATTATACGGGATATAGCAGGTTATCGCGGGACTGTCGATTTTTCATCGTGAGGAGACTTCCATCTTATTGGGGGTTCGTTATAAAGAGGTTATACTGCGTATTGTGCATTTAATGTATTTTTAAGTACCCATCATGGTACTAACGAGTTACTTGATTTACAGAGACGCTGTCGTGCGATCACACCAAAGTGACGCCGTATTTCATCGAATCGATCAATTCCAACGTAGGGTTCTGGTCAATACCGTGCGCCAACCGATTTTATTTCAACTTGGGCCTTTGCGATCCGCCGGAGTCTGAGTACGTTTTGATGGGCGAACACGTGACACACAAGTAAGAGCAGTTTAAATAGGATTTTAAAAAGGCGATACGTTTAAAGATACAAACACTTGCGTTTTTCTCGAAAAGTATAATACTGCTTTTGGATATTATATTTTTATTTACACAACTCTCTTAATAATTATACAAAACAACATTTTTGAAATAAAATAATATTATATTAAACATTTTAAATCTTTATCAGTTGTACATTTTTTCGAAACCTACGCTTTTAATGTCATATATATTATAACACAATTTTTTCCTGAGAATTTAGACGATTAGTTAATTAAATATTTAGTTAATGGTCTTCTACTCTGCTCCTACACTTTAAAATTAAAATAGGTCATACTGGAATTTATAAATGTATAAATAGTTAACTACCTATAATAGTTTAAAATTCGAATTGTATGATCCTGTATTGAAATTCTCAGAAAAATTGTCTGATTAGGAATGTGTGAAATTTAAAATGTACCCTATCATTCAAAAAAGAGAACATTGATAGGATAACATGATAATGAACAAAAATAGTAAGAAATAAGTAATAACCATAATATTTTTCAAAAATGTTTTTTTGTACAAATTTTAATACTTTTAATATTTAACATAAATTATTTCTTCTAACATAAATACTTTTCAATAAAATGAGAGTTTACCTTTAAAATAATCCCCTTGTATACGTCGTAACACCTCAATGAACGAATTTTTTTATTTTTACAATCGCATCTATTTGCTGCACGAATATTTTGAGTTAGCGTTTTGATTCTCCAATCAAGCTCATCCCCATTTTTCATTTAATAATGAATATAATAATTTAATATGATTGATATTTTATAATATGTTCTTATTGTTTTTGTTCACAGAGCTCGCGGTATTTATTACTTGCACACAAACGCGAAAAAACCTTACGCCAGAGGCTTCCCCAAAAAGAAGTGATCATCGTTGTCGACCTGCAGCGCACAGACCCTTGCAACAATACACTCGATAATAATAAAATATACGAAAAAAAGGCCTAGTCAAATAATATTATGTGTATTCTTAATATTTTTTTGTGCGATAAGCGCACTGATAAGATAGAATAGATATTTTAATCTATTCTGTGCTGATACCATCCGCATAAGACCTTAGTCCTTAAGGCTTAGATCATTTACAATGAACAGAGCCTTGGCATAATATAAACGCGTACTACCTACGTGTTTGAAGACATCTTCAGTACCCGTCGCATATTTATCATATCACTTAACTACATACAAAATATTTTGCTTGTGATAACAGATGTAGCAACTGAATTCTCATTTTACCTGATTCCTCTTAGTTAGTTCAGTTAGTTGGCTCCAAATATTAAAGCAGTAGCTCTATCCATTGTATATGACCTAAGTATAAGACATAATTACTACAATATAATAATATTATGTCGTATTGTATACTACCCTTGTGCTCATAACTTAATAAGCGTATGTATATTATATTGCTTCTGTGTATATTTATCCGAACGGTGAATGTTTCAAGATTCATGTGATTTTAGATTATACTTTGTAAATAATTATTTTCTGTGTATAAAATAGGCGAATAGTTACTGTATAGTCAATACTGGTGTAAAGTTGTAGACTGTAGTATAATTTATTCATACAACAGTGTATATTGTTCGATTGTTTTGAAACAATAAAGTTGTAACGAAAACGCTAATTGTATATAATATATTGTATATGAACGAGTCGTGCAGGTATTAAATTTGAATTCAATGATATCAAATCATTGTATACGAAAAACGATTCTGAGCGGAGACGGTATGTCAGTTTAGGATATTTTATATTGTTATTACTTATTAGTTATTATTAATATGGTAGCCGGTAAGTTGAATTAATATTATATTAATATTATATATTTCTTAAATTATCAGTGATGCTGGAAAAATATTAAATATACATATGTACAATTGGGCTGTTTTGGAAATGAATTACAACAAAATGATAAGCATTATTTTTTGTGTTAATATGCAATTTTGTCAAATTTTGAACTTAAAATGTCTGTAAAAATAACTGTATTCATATATTTTTTTAGATTTATTATTTATGGAAAAAGCTGTTTAAGTGGAACCTTGCTTTAAATTTCCAATCCTTAGCTATAAAAATGGAACATTTTATACATTTTTAACTACAAAATCATTTTCAATTTTCAACTTTATAAATATTGTCAACATTTGAACTTTAAATGCTTACAAAAAAAAATCGTGCCTATGTATTTTTAATATTTTTCAATTGCTATTATAACAAGTTATCAAGAGTCTTGTATTATATTTTCATGCTTTTTGACCCAACCAATACAATTTTATTGATATTTATAGAAAAAAATATGAAAATAAAAGGAAATGTCCGTCAACAGCCTAAAACGAGTCAGAATATTTTGAAAATTTGATCAAGTGTATGAATTGATGAAATAAACATTTGGTGTCAATTTCAAAATCGCTATACAAGAGAAATCGAGTGAATATCCAATGTTGTAAAAATTTCAACTTCAAACGCTCATAAAAATTTAATTTGACTTTCCGGTCAACTTTTTTCTTTTGCTAAATGTAAGAAAACTTAAGGGGAATTTTGTATTAAGTTTTCAAAACTTAGGTATAAACTGGAATTTTTTTAAGAAATACTGACTTAAATAATTTGCACATTTTTATGTTTTTGTCAAAAAACTTAGACGCTCTTACATTTTTTTGTTGATTTCGACTCAACTTTTCTTATTATTATATCCTCGCACAACAACTTATGAAAAACCTTGTAGGTATTACATTTTCAAGTATTTTGGCAGAGTGAAACATTTTTTATCGACATTAGTTTTAAAAAAAACAAATAATAATTGAACATTTCATACATATGAATGGTTCAACAAGAGTCCAAATATTTGATGGTGTATGCTTACACAAATATTCAGTGAAAATCTTAGGTATCTACGGTCATTTTTGTTAGAGTTACACTAAAAACCAAAATCGATTTTTTTCGAAAAATTATATTGCGTAAAACTTCCCATTTTTCCTTAATTTTTTTGTTTGTTTTTCCTATTGTTTTTGAAAACTATTGGGATTTTTAAATTTTGACTTCCCAAATGCACCAACTAGATTTACTTTCCTACCAGAAAAGTTGCTGTTGAAGAAAATCGAAGCACTTTTACTGCTCAAAACCGTGATGACAGACACAAAAAAAAATTAAATTGGAATCTAAATTGGAAAAAACATCAAAATTAGGGCAGTTCCCTAGTCCCCCGTCAAAACTTGGGTTTTTAAAAAATATATAAATCTTTACAAACCAAAAAAAAAAATTACAAAAAAACAAGCCAGTTACAAACAGGCTACAAACAAATAGTAAAATAAATCAATTTGAGAACATTCGTAGATCTTCTTCATTAAAATAATTGGTAAAAAATGATTTAATTTTAATTATTTACCATCAACTAGCTGGCTACAATTTAACTATACTGGTCGCACTATAAACCAGAAAAAAACAAACTACAAGTATTCAACCTCGCTCTACAGATTGTTGTTATAATTCGTCACTATATGTTTAGCTCTTGACCACACGGTCCACGGCACATCAAAACACTTGAAGAAAAAAAACTGTTGATAAATTACATGACACCGATGATGGACGCCATGCAAGTGAAAACCCCATCATCATCAGTCGTTTGTCGACGCCGACGAGCTACGGAGAACGAACAGTGATCGTTGTCTGAAGATTTGTCCGTCGATGGTAGGGACACGACTGTCGGGTCACCGTTGCTGCGTTCGCAATCATCGCCCGAGCTAAGGATGGAATCGCCCGTGTACAGCGGCAAAGTAGAGACCAACCCATCGCCGGTGCCAACCTTTCGGGTGACTGCAAATATGGACGGCACCCAAACGGACTCGCTAAAATTCGTGCGACTCTCCCACCGGCCCTTATTAATCGCCTCACTGGATTAATTGGCTGTCCAAGATGTCTGCAGGCGACCGCTACGAAAAAAACTCGCAGGGAAATCCCAGTCGTCCCCGGAGTTAACGGTTCTCTCAACCGCGCGTGTACTGCTTACTTGGACATTTCAAATTTTTATTTTTATTCTATGATAGTCATGCCTTTTATGATAAACCGCTCTTACTATGTTATATAACTGGTAACAAAATACCAGTTATACCATACCCTGATAGTTGCATTGTTTGATCAATGCGTACAATCATTGCACCACGTCTGTGTTTAAGCGCTTGTGCGGTGGAAAACTCAACTAAAATGTCCTCTCTAAGCGACCGAATCGATAAACGTTGTCAAATAGGGAAAAGTGACTGACATTATCTTCTAGGGCTGTGAATATAATTGCAACGTTAAGGTAATAGATATGGTAGTAGCAGGGTTTGTGAAAGCCGGTTTTCGTATGTACCTACTAAAACAAAATAAAAATCATCTCAAGTCCATTTATAGCTGATACTCATCATTTATATTACATTTATTGTACATTCAGAAATGGATGATTTTGACTTGTTTGAAAATCTTGGCACTTTAAGAAGTATTAGAAATAAATAAATGAAGAATATGCCGTCGAAATCCTATACAGTAGAGTAGTAACAAGTATAAACTATACACAAATAAAAACCTTTTTGAAGTTAAGTTCTAATAATGAATATTTTATTTTTAATTATCATAATGCAAATATTTTGAAAAAAGTCGTAGGTATAGAAAAAATAAACTAAATTGAATGTTACACTTGTAATATTAAATAATTGTAATATTCTTATATTAATATATTATATAGATACACACATATTATAACTTTTTTTTAATACGATTCTTATTTGTGTTTATTTTGTATATAAATTAATATACTAAAATAAATATATAAGGTAAAATATCTTAATTAATATCCTAATTCCGCAAAAACAAGCAGCGCCCCCCATAAAAACAGTTTAAAAATTGTATAGAAATATCCACGTAAGTTTTTACAATAATAGTAGTTCAACAATTTAAAAGATACTTGGGCATGATTTTTTTTATAAGTATTTCAAGTTCATATTTTGACAAAATTCATTAACAATTTTTGCAAATAATTTTGTAGTTAAATATGTATAAAATATTCATTTTTTATAATTAAGGGTTGACAATTTAAAACAAGGTTGCCCCTAAGTATTTCATACTGTAACTGAAAAATTTAAAAATTATACAGGTGATCAAAGTTTATTCCATGATATTTTAAGTTCAAATTTGAACGAAATTAGACCTTTAAACAGAGAATAATGATTTTAATTGTTTTTTTTTAAATATAATACTGGCACTTACTTGAAACTTTTACAATACCTATATCAGATGAAATGTTTTTGACAAAAATTAATTCAATCTATTGTTTTACTAATAGTAAAATATATTACTTTAATAGCAATAGTATCAAACAATTTGGTACTTATAAGTTATATTGTAATATAGGTTGATACTACTTGATAGACCTTCGCTCAGAATCGTTTAGGTACACAATGATTTTATATCATTGAATTCAAATGTAACCCTTTTATTGCGGAGACCCACCGGCCACCACCCAGACGACACATAATATTCAGCAAAACGGTACCCACTTGCCCACATTATTATTGTTATTTTAATGTATAGAATACTAACTGACAGCTGTCCTTCCTACTAGTAGGTACCAGTCCCAAAGATTTTTTTTTATAAATACATTTGTAAAAAAATGGGTATACCATATTAGAGATGATTCTGTTATAGTACCTATAGTGATATAATATGTAATCAATGGTAACCCTTATAAATAAACAAATAAAAATATTCTTGGCCTAGGTTACGATTATGCTAAGTTATATAGTTTTGACATTAATTTTAATATTAAAGTAATTTATTTTAGCCTTTATAGGATTCATACAATCATACCTCGTGAACCGTAAGTTTTATATTGCGTAATATTGGTAATATTGTGTGCACGTACTGCTGTGTAATGTTGTGTAATATTATTTCGTTGAATTGTTATTATTTCGGCTATGTTATTGTATTGATAAGCTTTGTCGCACTGACTCGTAATTGCAGAGTTTGGAATATTTAAGAATATTTACAATAATAAAGTGCGTTATATAAATCGGTATGTAACCTTGTTTATTTAAGGTTGTGCTTGTTTGGTTATTTGTATTTGTTTGGTTGTGAATTGATAGGCAATTGCTATAAGATGTACAATATTAAGTTTATATGTTTAATATTATTTCACTTATATCAGAATCTATTATTCTATTATGTATTACGATGGAATGTAATACTGTAATAGGGTGGCTCTAAGGTTTATTTAAAGTTTTGGACATAAATATACACTTTACGGAAATAACGATTAATGATCTTGGTCCTGTACTCTTATAGAATTATCCATTTTTTTTTTAAACTATAGAAAGTAATTTTTACAGTTTGCATTAAACTCCGTTTTTCAAGACAATTTTAAGTTTATTTTATACTATTTTCTGAAGTAAAATAAAAAATCAGAATTCAATGTCGCCTGTAAGAAGTCTTCTTTCAGATAAAAAAGTGGCAAGTGGGTAACGCTCTGTTGTACAGTAGGTGTCTACTGTCTAGAGGAGACACTATAACTACTATAAGGGATGTGTTAAATTTTAATTCAATGATAGAAAATCAGTGTGTGCGAACAACGATTCCAAACGCAAAGATAGACCGCCAGCAAGC